GATCCATTCTGGACCACAGCGGGGAAATTCGCAGCTCAGGGAAGGTATGTAATGGAGTGGTTTTGGCATCCTGAGATGTGTGAATGTGACTTTATGGGAAGGATATTTTGGGTCTTCCTATTTTTGGTGGTTCATCTCCATGCTGGTTAGCTTTGAGCCAAAGGCCACCAGTGGGAGTATCACAATGCGACTCCTGATGTTTTGCACTAAAGGCAAAGTAAAGGTATGTCACAGAATCACAGAATCACAGAATCACTAAGGTTGGAAAGGACCTTCAAGATCATCAAGTCCAACCATTAATCCAGCGCCACCATGTTCCCTAAACGATGTCTTGAAGTGCCACATCCACACGTTTTTTGAACACTTCCGGAGATGGTGACTCCACCACCTCCCTGGGCAGCCTGTTCCAATGCCTGATCACCCTCTCGGTGAAGAAATTTTTCCTAATATCCAATCTAAACCTCCCCTGGTGCAACTTGGGGCCATTTCCTCTCGTCCTGTCACTGGTTACTTGGGAGAAGAGACCAACCCCCACCTCACCACAACCCCCTTTCAGGTAGTTGTAGAGAGTAATAAGGTCTCCTCTCAGCCTCCTCTTCTCCAGACTGAACAACCCCAGTTCCCTCAGCCGCTCCTCATCAGACTTGTGCTCCAGACCCCTCCCCAGCTCCATTGTCCTTCTCTGGACACACTCCAGTGCCTCAGCATCCTTCTTGTAGTGAGGGGCCATTCCTTTCTCTTCTGATCCAGACCCCAAACAATCGCATCTTCTCAGCTATTTCAGTTTTCTCCTTCCCCTGAAACTTATGGCTTATCCTGCACCAAAATACCATCCAGGGATAGTACCTTCCAGCCCATCTCTGTTCCATTACCTCAACATGGAAAAGCCATTTCAGGACGGTGATTTCATTATACATCATTGATGGGGGATACATTATTAAAGCAGATTCATAAAAAATGAAAGTCATTTTACACAGAGAAGGAGTCCTGACAGTAACCTAGATATGTCACAAAACCTGATTGCCACCAGATAGGAAAACCTGCCCCTCGCCACAGCAAAGAGGGGTAAACCATGAAAGATGCATGAGGGTAGCAGGAGAAATAAAGCGACTGGAATGACCGAGCAGGAGATAAACACATCAAGGTTAAGGAACAAAAGAGAAGAGACAGCTGGAGGAAAGGGGGAGTGAATAGAGGTTAAATAATTCAGGTCAGGACTTTTAAGAGCCTTGAAGAAACAAGGGAGTGTAAAAGTCATCTAGGAATCATTGGCCGGGGGGAGGCAACCAACCAAACCCAACATGTTATTCACAGCATTAAAAAGAGCTGTTGGATATTCTGTGCCGTTTGGACAGACTTTGGCTGGTGTAAATGATCAAGGAGACAATCCAGCTGGGTGTATTTACGCCCTTCTGAAGTGGCCCATAACACCAACAGATGCAATTCCAGCAGTTTTGGCCACTTCATACCATGGATGCTGTTGCCCTCACATCCTAATTGAATCCCGCCTCGGTTCTGCCCTAGTCCTTGATGGATCTGTCTAGGAGCTCTTCCCAGCCACCGAGCTCCTTCAGTCACTGCCTCATTAAATGGAAATAACCCATCAGATAAGGAGTTTGCAGCATTAATCCATCTTCATGCTGCCGGTGCTACCGGGCAAAGCATCTCCTGTGAATTTTACACATCTCCTCAGCCCTGGGCAATGCTTCTCCCTGAAAATCAGCAGAAGTCTCCAAAGCTGTGAAGCCTGGGACCTACAAAGGGTGAAACCCAGTCTGAAACACCCTCCTGAACACTTTCCTCTTCTTTTTCAGTGCTGCTGCTCCTCTTCTCTAGGTGATACATCCTACCTGGACCAGTTTTATTACCCAGCTCCTGGAGGGGGGAACAGAAAATTTTGCCTCCTGCCTCTATCTCCCTCCACTGCATTTAATTTCTGATCTGGAAATACTCGTTTTCTTTCCTTGCTCTTATTTCTGGTCGCCTGTGTTGCTCCTACTTCAGCCTTGGCTTTGCGTGCTTGGGGTTTCCCTTCCCAGCCTTACAGTTTCGCACCGCTGCTGGTGCAAAGCACAGCCCCGGTTGTGCGAACGCACCAAGTACACTACCGACAACAGCAGCCACGCAAAATTCAGCTGCAGTGAATTAGTCTTGCTGGTGGGAGGATAATTCCTATTAATCACATCTATTACTGTAATACCTCAGGGTAAGCAAAAGAGAGCAGAGCAGTGAATAGCACAAAATGAGGGAAACTCCCAGCCACAAATACTTTGCAATCTGAAAAGAGAAGGACGGGAGGAAACGATATACAATATGCTGGGTGGGCAATATGACCGTTGGTAACTCGATTATTTTTGAGAGTAGGAGGAACCCGAGTGGGACATATTATGCAGGGGAAGGAAAGCTAAATGGAAAGAAGTGGAAGGAAGGAGTCGTCTGAGGACAGCAGTTGACACCAGAAGGAAGAGGAGGGAAATATTAGTAATGAAGAACAAGGGTACAGAAATTGTTGTTTTTTCTTAATAAACAGTAAATATTCCAGTTTGTGGCAAAATGAAAATTTTGGGATGAGAAGGGAGAGGTGCTGAGTTAAATCAGAACAACGCAATTCCATATGAAATGGAATGTGAATCATTTTTATTTTGGTTGGTCTGAAATATTGTACCCAGCCTGGTGGAAAAATATGTGATTATTTATGAGTTACATAATTGTTTTCTACAGTGGGCATCTTCTGCCTTGATTTGGGTCAGCGTTTGAAAAAACATTTCAAAACCTACGTCTGAGAAGTTTCACCGTCCTATTTCAGACACATTTCCCTGCAGTTTCCACAAGTGAAATGAAAGTTGGTGGCCACTTGTTCCTGCTCTCACCTTCTGCTGAGCTGCTTCAGGGAGCTGAAGAGGCAGAAAAAATGTCTGTATTTTGCTGAATGTTAGGGTTGGCTTTTCTGCCCCTCCAAGCTAGCTCCCTGAAGAGCAGATACTGATGGGAGAACAAGCCTTTTTTCTCATGTTTTCCACCATGGGTGTCTGGAACACTACAAATAATTGCGTATAGACAAGATACTTGGCTGACTGGATCCACGCTGCCTTTTTTCCTCAGGTGCATCTGACTCAGAGACAAGTGATGGGCCCCAGAACATCAGCAACAGCCAGACAGACACTGCCAGGTCCTGCTTCCCCAGGACTCCAGCAGCTCCAGGAAACGGGAGCAAAACCTCCTGCAGGCCACCGACGTCTGGCGCTGGAGCTTTGGACTGGGCTCCTCTCTAATAATTGTGCAATTGTGGTAATTATACACAAAAAAAAGTTAATTACTTAATGATGCGTAACAAGGACCCTTCAGCTATGAGCGAGGCACACGCTCGGCGCAATTATTCACAGACATGTAATCTACTTCCCTTTGTATTGAATATTTCATTAGTTACTATTCACATCTTCTCGGAGGTGCTTTGCAATGGTTCAGTGATTGGATTTACTCTAATTTCTTCTTGGCTTGTACAAATGTTGTCGCTACAAATATTCCTCTGTATTTTATCCCTTTAACAAGGAGGTTCTTTCCAACCTTCCTGTTGCCAAAGAGAACTCGCCACAATGTGAACATCAGGAGCTCGAGGCAATTTTAGGTTCCTGCCTTGTCTTCAAGGTCCTTTGGGTGGGTTCCTGTGTTTTTGTCTCATGTCTGCACAGCTCTTGGCACCCTCGGGATTTTGGCCATCACAGGGGTGCCTTAGCAGTGGTACAATATGAATAGCAAATAGTAGTGGTAACCAAGGGTGTCTGCAAGTGAAGGAGACCGGACCTCCTGAAACATTCACTAATTTCAAAGTCAGTCCAGCCGTGTCTGGAATCACTCTTGATTTACTCCCGCACAGAAGAGGGATCTGTACAGGAGGAGTACTTATACAGGAGGAGGAGAAGGTGTATCATGGGCTTGCATTTTCACTTTTAAATACTTGAATGACTGCTCCAAGCTCCAAGTTTCCTTCTCAACTAGACCCAGCAAACCAGACCCTCTGGTTTTGGAGGGCTTTGGAGCTGCCATGCTCCACAGAAGTTGCCCAGCTCTCCCCGCCTCTGTTGAAGTAGCTGCCTTGCACAATTAACTTGGGAAGGAGGAGCGGCTTTCTGCTTAAAGTTAGCGCTTGTGGACAGTAAAGCAAATCCCAGCTCTAAGTGTTACAACACTTCAGCCTAACCTAGAAGTATTTCTTGGAGTGTGCTGGGCAAGTGCCTTGCTGGAACTGCAGCTGGGGTGCTTCATGCACTTAGTCATCTATAGGGGACGGGCTGTAGGGCTGGACTACATCTCCCATCATGTGCTGCATACGTCTTACGGACATACGGAGCCTCACCCAGAAAAGATGGACATAAAGAAGAACCAGACCTGCTAATCCCATGAACCAGCTACATTTCTCTTACAACATTCCCAGTTCGTACTTTATAATTTTTTTCAATGAAACATTTTTGGAAAAATGCTGAGAAAAACCACTAATTTGACAGCAAGTTTTGTCCAGCTTTTGCCCTAAATGGCAAATTGAACAAATTGAAAGTTAACAGTCTCAGAAAAAGGGCTGAGATTTTCTTGGCTACAACACAATGACAAGGGGATCTGCCAGATGTTGCACAAGGTGTGCTTCACCTGGCAACATCCAAATGTGAGTTCCTGAGAGTCCTTAAAAACCTTAATAGTGCATTAAGTCTTTCAAGGATTTTTGAAAAGAGCTGTTACCAACTAGGCTTCCGGGATAATCTCTGAAATCCAATATGAAACTTCCATGAGTTATGGAAGTAAATGTGAACTCCCTGTTGCCCGCGTAGAGAGACCATTGAAACCAGTGCTGTTCCACAGCTGTGAATAAAGGGAGAATTGGACCCGTTTTCCTTCTCTGACTTTACTGAATATAAATCAAGGCACAGACATGCTAACTGCATTACACAGATCCTGGTGACAATAACTTCTCAGCTTAAGAGACAAGAGAAATTGTCATTCAACTCTGATCATCAGCTTTATTGTATGCCAGCCGGATGATACACATTTCATGCAGACTCTATGTTTGCTCCAACGGCCGCTCAGAGGAAAGTGCTTGACTTCATGTGCGTTGATCCTGCACTAAGGTACTTGGTTCTTGGTCTGTAGCACCAGTGTTTTTTTCAGGGGTCCTGGAAGCAGAGAAAGAGCATCATTGCAAAGCTGTCAGAGCAATCGGCTGGAGCACAACAACAAAATGCCACCCCCGAGCTGGAATTAGCCCAGTGACAAGTGTTTCTGCAGAGCGCTCCCCAAGCAGCCTGCACATGTTCAGTATCTCCTCAGGCTGGTGGGTGAGCCTGGTCCTGGTCCAAAACCTACGGATGTCCACAAAATGGGGAGGGCTGGCGCTCTTGACTTTTTGACCAGCCCCTGGTTCAACTGAGACCAGTGTCAGGCCCACCCATCAGCTATGAAAAATGCTTGCCAATTGATTATAACCTGCATCGAACGAGCACCTCGCTGTAAAATTGTCTCACAAAGAAGCAGTTTGTCGCCCTCAAGGCGGGTGGTGAAAGCCCTGTAACCCAGGGGAGCTGAGCTCTTGTGCTGCTCAGGAAGCAACCGGTGCCTGTTAAAACAACCGACACGGAAATAAGCCCAGCTGACATATGCTAACCCCAATTTGAGAGCACCCCTCCTCTTCTATGCCCCCAGGAGACACCAGGAGGTGATGGTGGCACCAAGGCACTGGATGCCTGTTAGGATCAGTTCAGGGGCCAGCTCTGTACCTGGGGTAGTCTTGGATGGGAGCATAAGAGAACAAAGCCCAGCCATTAGGGTAGATGCTGCCAGGAAAAGCTCTGGCCAGATTCTGGAGGGAAGGTCGGGTCTTGTTGAAGTGCAGAGGGAGACATGGGAAAGGAAAGACCTGTAGGGAACAAGGGAATCAATCTTCATTAGGAGAGAGAAAGAGAAGGAGAGGATGAGGAGAGATGTGTGATGGATGGGGAGGGATCTGTGAGGCTGCAGAAAGCAGATGGAGAGGCAGAAGAAACCTGCTCAGCTTTAAGATGGACAGCTTTGCACGGCGGTTGCATTAAGGGACGGTGGAGGTCCCCATTCGTCCCCGAGCCTGATGTTGGCTTTGCGTAGGGAATGGTTCCAGCTTGCAGGTTAAAGGAGGGAAGGAGAGGCTGACACCAGGGCCAGGAGAACAGGCGCTAGTTACCATCTCCTTGGCCCATGAAACCAGCCCAACCTGGACATGTGAGTCTAACCATCCCTGCGTGGGACGCTCATGGGGCCAGGCCATGTGGAGAGCCCTGGCAGGACAGCTCTTGTTCAGATACTCACCCTCGTCCTGCCCTTTGCGCTTACAGTGAAGAGACATTTACTGCCAGAAGATGCTGGCAGAGGTTGGTATGGCCTTTCCCTGCTGTCTCCAATGTAGGAAAACCTGCTGAGTCCTTCCAACCTACCAGCTCCTATGGGAATGAGGTAAGCTCAGCACCGTAAGTCAAGGGATTAGGTGAAAATGCAGGGCAGCAGCTCTTGGGAAAGATGTCTCACTGTCAGGTCAGATCAGGTCCATACTGCTGATACACAGACATCTGCTAGGACCTGTCCTAGCTCCTGAGCTGTTGCCTGGTCTCTGGAGAAGGCTGGAGATGTCTGCAAGTCCTTGCCAGTGGAGAGTGTGCCCAAGGGCACTTACACATGTGGGCTAGGCAGGTTGAGGGCTGCCAGCAGCTGCTCCAGATGCCAAGCTACCCACTCTGAGCTGGTCTTCACATCTTGTCTCATAAGGGAGGATGCAGTAACTATGGGGCCTGAGCTCAGGTTTTCCTGTGCCAGTGCACATGTGATGCTCCAGGTTGTAGGTGGGTCAACGCCAGACTAATCCCACCTCTTCCCTGGGCTTGGTGTCCAACCTCTTGCTGTTGCCCTGCATTTCAGAATAGAGTTTGAAAGCCAAAGTAATCTCTCCCTGGAGGAACATAAACTGTTTGAAATCACCTTCCATCAACATTTCTCTTAGTCCCTGCTAGAGTCACCAGGGGAATTCACCCTTCTCAGCAGCCTTGGTTTGGTACCTCTCTGTTGAGGCAGCCATGAAATCTGGTGCATGCCGTGACTTGTTTGTGTGGTGGATACTTCTTCATTTTAATCTGGTTGTCTCTTTCCTCACAAGTGTGTGCATCCTTCAGCCATGGCTAAAAGCCAGCCTTCTGGAGGAGAAAGAGGCCGTGTCCCATCCCCTGGCTTCCTCTTTGTTTGCATCGAATATAGATAATTGTGTGATTGTTCTTCCCAGTAAAACTCATTCCGAACCTGTTTCAAACTGGAAGGAATGTGAGGGAGAGGTAATTACATTCTTTTCCGCAGGAGTTGTTATTCTGGGACAACACAGCCTTGCACAGCCTCTCACCAGGAGGAGAACACCCCTGGCTGCTCTCTGCAGGGCTGCACAGTGAGGTCCAGCCCTGGGTACTAGCCTTGGGAGGAGTGAGCTGGGAGGATGCAAACAGGAGGGTTGAAAGGAAAACCTGATCCTGAAAAGTAATGAGACCTAACACAAACCCAGCAAAATTTACAAATTATCTTTTTCTCAGCCAAGCGAGGAAAGAGTTTGGAGATCTTCACCCTCACGAGGGCTGTCAGTGGCAAATCGTTGCCTGGCGAAACCCATGTGTGTAGCAGAGGTTAATTATGTCATGTGACAAGGTGAGAAACGGAGAGGAGATGGATTGGAGGTGACAGATTATTACTCTGGGTACAGCTGAGAGTGAGATGCAGAAAGAGCAGGAACTTCAGCAGGGGTTCATTTCCCAGCGGCAGCACCTGGTGTGTGGAAACAACAAAAGGATGACCCCCACAAGTACACATAGCATGGCCTCCTCTTCGCTGGTCCAGATACAACAGCAGGGAGCTGCGCTCTTAGGACTTGGGGTCTAAACTTGCCTCTGATGGTAATGGGCTCCAGCAACATCACCCTGTTCTTCACACATGTGGTTGACCTGTTCATGGCTCATCTCTGTTCCTCTGTGGACTTGGGTCTTGGTGTTTTGGTGGCCTGATATCAAACCAGAACTGATGACATTTATCCTCCTCTGTGAAATTATGCTCACTCAAAACAGTTTAACTTTTTGGGAGCTCTTATGAGTCTGTATAGACTGAGCCAACTCCAGGCATATGGAAAACTACATTGCCTTCAAAAGCAACTAGAAGCAGCAGAAATCTTGTCCTTCTGGCTCAGAAACAGCAAAATAGCCCCAGGAACATATAGTTGTGAAGATTGGCACTGAAAGGCCATTTTTTAAAAAGAACCATGAGAAATCTTGCCTTTCTTCCCCAGAGAATTCAGGTGAGGAGTTGGCTCTCATCCATGAAGGAACTGATCTTTTGGTTAGGGCCCTCTCCCAGGGGGATAGTGGCAGGTTCATGTTCCTCAGAAGATAAAAGCCCATCAATTCCTGGGCAAATGTAATTAAAAATTAGGTTATAGGACATGGAAAGTCACTTCTCTCTTCTGAATGCTTTTTGGCTCTTTGTGCATCAAAGTTCACTTTCTGTGGTAACAGTGACAAAAATACAAGTGTTCTTTGTCCTGGAAAGTGGCCTTAACATTCTACTTAATACCTGGTCTTAGTTACACTCCTTGGAAAAGGCAACAGCATCAAATAGTGGGGCTAAAGCTCATTTAATTACAACAGGGAAATGAAGAATTTCAGCGTGGGTCTGTATCTAAGCAAGCAGAGGGGTTGCTATTGCTTGCATAAGTTGAGTGTGCCCTGGAAATGGGCACCAGTTTGGGGCCAGCAAGGGCTGAAGGAGAAGAAAGTGTCTGGTTGTGAAATCTGGCCTGATGTAGGTATGAGGTGAGCAGCAAGGAGCTCAGCACTTCAGAGCTCAAACAAATGTCCACCTGCAAAGCAGCAGATATACAAGCACTTACAAAGCTCTGCTAGCAGATATTTAGATGCAAGAAGACCTCTGAGGTCAGCTAGGGACCTCAGTGGCATGCAGGAATATTGTCCTTAATACCATTCAGTCCCTAAAACTGTGCAGCTGAAATTTTGGCTGCTGTTTTAGGTTGTTCTAGAGTTCTTTCACTCTTGGAGTCTCGAGTTTGGAGGAGGAGGTGGCAGCACTGTGAAAGCACAGCAGGTGGGCCATGGTGACACATGGGAAAGGATGCAGGGCATTACCTACACCAAAGGATCCTCTTTCCCACTGCCTCTTTCTAGTATCTACACTGAAATCCCTAGAGCCTGGAGATGTCAAGCACAACCCGGCTGTAGGTCTCACTTGTTCTAAATGAATACTCCAGGCTCCTCACTGAGGAGGACTGGACATCCCCACACATTTAATCTCTTCTGTCTGCTCTTGCACAGCACCACTGAAGGAAGCCCAGCAAACCGAGCGCTGCTTGATTCTTCTCCCATCCATGTCCACCAACCAGCTTCAGTTTGGCCTTGAGTTAGGTCTTCAGACCTAACTTCTGTAGCTGGCCCATGAAACCAGACTGATGGCCGTGCTGTGAGCTCAGCTCCTCACTCAGTGTGATAAGGAGTCTCCTTTGCTTTCTAGCAGGGTGGTGTCACGCTACCTGTAGTGAGGATCACAGTAAGGGTAGAGGAACAGAACTGCTCCTGCATCTTTCTGTGTGTGTGTGGAGCAGCTAGGAAGAAGCACTATTTCCATGTGCACTGATAGCTCCAGCCAGCACAGACCAAACTAAGGTCACTCAGGCAATAAATTAGGACAAGGAGGGAGCAAGGAGCCACCTGGGACTCAGTCACAGTTGGGCCCTGCTGTACTCACAAGTTGAAGGGACCACGAGCAGGTTTAGTCCTAGCCTGGGACGGAGATAGCAGATGTTCAGGGCACCTTCTGAACCACAAGAAGCCTCCTGGGCATCCATCTCTGAAACATATTCTGTTGCTAAGCCAACTTCTGCTTCTTCCCTGGGAGATGCATCTGCTTGGATTTCCACTGACACATTTCTGCCCACTGTTGTCTGTAATGCGCCGGGAGTTGCAGTTCCTTTAACATCAGCTGCTTTGGCTCTGGGCTACAAGATTTCTCCTTCATTCTCCTCAGTTGCTGCATTTGTTGAGCCACCTGCCAGCCCAGGACATCTCTGCACAAAGCTGGAGAAAGGCCAGCCTCTCTATCAGATGCACCA